AGGAATAAGAATAGCAAAAACAAAAACATTGAAAGGAAAAATGACCCATAACACCAACCACTGTTGAAAAACACAATAGGCAGACACAGAGACCAAAAGAAACTGATGAGCCTTAAGATGTTCTTTGCTAAAGTATAAAGAACACCTAAAAAGAGTTATACAATCAAAATAAAGTTTTTAGCAATATAACTAATCTCTTCTATTGCAGACTCACCTGGGATCTCCATAATAGCCCTTCTTGCACCTGTTGCATGTGTCTCCCTCTGTATTATCTTGGCAGAAACATACTCCAGACTGCAAGTCACAGATGCCTTTTGCTTCATTGCCATGTCCATTACAGTTGCAAACGTGACAACCTCGACCAGATGTAGCATTCCCATAGCTGCCAGGTCTGTTAAACATTTACAGAGTTAAAATATCTACCTTGATATGTTTCATAATTAGAGTACATCAGACTCCATTTGTAGTCAGGAATAAATATAAATAAAAATTATTGATAAATACCAAAACAACAAAAATGGGAAATTATCAATCCTTGGCTGAACTTAGTTCTCAATATAACATGTCAGATAGGAATCACATTTGACAAAAATGGTTTGAAATATACACCTGAAACAGCAACTACAAGACTATATGAGTGGCGCCTGAGTACAAAAGAACTGGTAATTATAGTATGTCATCAATAGTTCGATTTTTACCTTCTCAATTGTGGCAGCATTATTTCACACATACTATGATCAAACTATACTGCCAAGCCTACTAATATGTTGTCTCATGTTTCAATGCAAATGCTGTACTGGTTGCCACTGTTACAATTATGTAACAAAATTATAAAAATGACCCTGGTCAGGCACATTGCCTAGTTCCTTAAAAACATGAGATGCACACACACAAATGGGCCCATTAGGTGTTCTTCACTCATGCTACAGCATGAAGAATACAAAATCTAAAGACAAATATTTTGTGTTATATTGTATCCTACTCACCTACAGTATTGACAGTATTTTCCTGTGGCCCAGTTCTGACACTCATCACAGATACCTACACCCTGAGTACAAGTGGAGTGGTTATGACAACCACAGTTGGTCCCGCAGTCTACACCTGTCCACCCAAGATCACACTTGCAGGCATAGTCAGGTGAACCCAAACAATAGCCATGGATACACTTGTCATAACACCTGTACAACAACAACAACAAAAAAATCTATCATTACATAGAGGGATCAAAAAGTCACGCAACCCATTCCTGACACATGTTCTATTTGTCAAAAAATAAATTACATTGAAATCAGAAAAAAATAACATTATAAAAAGTGTTGGAAATGTCCATCAAATTCAGCAATGCAATCACTATTTCCTCAGGTTTAATGTGACCTGGTGAAGAGTTTCTGCAGTGACTGTAAATGGTTCACCTGAGGAGACACTGTCAATTTTTTTGACACAAGAGAATCAGGAAATTGAGAAATAATTTAGTAAGAAACAAATTTACAACATCTACTTTCCTTCAAAAGGCTTAATGTTTATAGGGATAGCAGCAACTATAAATTAGCATTCACAAAATTTAGTGATTCTGTCTTGTGCATGATTTATACTACTACGGATTCAGAATACGATCTATCAGGTATAACCTAAAAGTGTCACACCATTACCAGATTATGTTCATACAAAGCATGTCAGTTAGTTTGAAGTTATTCAGGAGGAATAAGTAGAAGGGGACAGACATGTTACTCTTTTCTGTAGGATGTATAAAGGTGTGGCATCTCAGCCTCACACAACCTACAGGCTCAGGCCAGTTCTTGCACCACAGCTGTAGGATTAATCTTGAATCTCCCCAAGCTAATTTATCTTAATTTTTTCTCTTATTTTCAGTCCCCTTCTATTGTTTGTATTCCTGTTCACACAGATGGACAATAAACCCTACTCTGTATAAGTCCAACAGAGTAACAATTATATACACTGAATCACACCACTATAAGAAACCTTTATTTAAATTAACTCCATAAACTCGATGCGTATATCCTTCTATTACTTACGTTTTGGTGCAAGTTATCTTTCCATCACCAATAAAGCCACGCTTACACTGGCAGCTATAGGAACCATGAGTGTTTGTACAAACAGCCTCAGGATGGCAGTCATGTAGACCAAGATCACATTCATCAACATCAGGACATTGCGCATAAGACCAACTTGTTTCTGATGCCAACAGTGTTAAGTTATGATGGTCATTTATCATCTGAGTACACGAATCTAGAGAAAAGAATAAACTTAGTTTTTCTGTGATATGGTTAAAAAGGAAAATGTCCTTTCCACAAATCTTACTCTGAAAACAAGCAAGATTCACTGTTATATTTTCCTCCACATCTGAAAAGTCATGAGAACGTATACCCAGGGTGATCTGAAGTTCACAATATCTGTAGGCTACCACCAGCTATCATTCACGCTACAAGTCGATAAATGGAAGTAATGGCAACTCCCCAGCTGGTGCTCCCAGCTCAAAAACGGAACACCTACCATTAACGCAGAAGGCCATAATGATAAATTATGGCATAAGTGGCAAGGAATACTAGCTTGCACCAGCAATGTCTTGGGGATGTTTGTGTACCCCGTGAACAAATTTTAAAGGTATAGTTCACAGATTAAATACTACATTTACGAGGACTGACGAAGAGTATTGCTTACCAATTCGTGGGTGGTTAAAATCGCCTTCCACGCAGAGACCAAGGATGGGGTTCTCAACACTGTAACACCAGCCACAACCTAGATTCTGCAAGCAACTTGAGCAATTGGCATGGCGGCTACATGATTTACACTGCTGGCTGACTTGCATAAGGCCAGACTTGTTAGATGCACTGAATCCAAGTTGCTGCTGATGAGTATTAGCCTGGTCCATCCACTCACGACACAATCCAAACTGATATTCAGATGTATATACAGAGAATGAAAAACATTCCTGTTGACAATGAGAACACAGGTCAGTTTTAAGGTCCATATATTCTTCAGAAATACTGCATCAAGTCACACAGCAAGTTTATTTCAGTTTGATTGGCATTTTTGCAATTTTAATTTGTGGAGAAAAGTTGAATAATATTTCCAAAACACAATAGAAAATTCAGTATTAGCATCTTTTATGTAATCACAGATGAAGGTACTATGTAGTCCTGAATTAATTTTTGTTCACATTTTCACTGCAATACAACAATGATGAAGAAGGATATTTATCATTTTCTGAAATTCCTCAAATAGCTGAAAGTCACTCATATGGAAGACATTACTGGTCTATCACCATACCCTGTCCTGAGACAACTGAATCCAGTCGACAACCTTATGCCAAATTTGAGATTTCATATTAATTTATACTGTCTCCCACATGATCTTTCACTTTGTTTTTCTAATTTCTCATCTCTCGATGTGTGCTACATCTCCTGTCCACCTTATCCTCTTTAAATTTAACACATTAATATGAGGTGAATAGTATAAATTAGGAAGCAGAAATTATTAATATGGAAACAAATAAAATTTTGCCAGATAATGGTCCCCTCTGTCCTTTTTCTGTTGAACAGAACTTCTTTGTCAGTTATCTTTGTATGAAGATTTCATCTGCAAAAGAAATCAGCAGAGTGATTTCATTGTAAGGAATGATGACATATACCAGTCATGAAAAAAAAATATTTTACTTTTAGTATTTTACTTGCTTTGGCATACTATGTAATCATCTATGAAGAAGAAACTGTAACTTTTGAAATTAAAATTAAACCATGTTGAAAGATAAAGCAAAACACATAAGAAAAAAATCATAAAATTGCAGAGACTGACATATTCTAAAGCCTAGGTGTATGGAAAATTCTGTAATGCTGTATAAAAATTCACAATACTGGCAGTTCTGACACAGGCTGAAGTAAATGCAAGGGTCACACCTGTGTTGCTTCACACCAAACGCATCGACCTCTGTCATAAAGACACTGAGAGCAGTTATCACGCTGATAGCAAGGTACTGGGCACTGGGAAAGTTCCACAACAGCATTTTGTGACCTACACACAAATATCCAGTGTCAGTAACATTCACATTTGGTAAAAAATAACATATTTACTCATGTATAATATGCAACCTTAATTTCTGGATTGGAAAATTAAAAATCAAGTATTCATATATAAAACACTTCAAAATAAATAAAATATAAGTTGTGAAAAAAGAAAAGATTATGTAGTATGAGATGTATGAAGATTAGGTGGGCAGAGTTAGTATTCATTGTTTGTTCATTGATAATGGCGATAACAGTATCAGTAGTGACAGTGAATAATACTACCATGTTAGTGAACTGTTCATTGATTACACAATTTAAATAAAATTGCATGTTACTAACAAGTAAATAGAAGCTTTGAATAACATTTTACTGTATGAGGAAAAGGAACAAAAGCCATTTCCTTCATCCCTTTAAATATATGTTTCAAGCATTACACACACCCTAATTAAAAAAAACTGTGTTGTACATGAGTTAAGTATGGTAATTTGAAATTGAACATTAAACAAGGAAAAACTTTAAACAGAGACATTAACCCTCTGAAACAAAGGCTTACATGAGTAACATTTAAAAATTCAGTTCCTACAAAAAAGAAAACACATATCTCCAGTACAAAGATCAAATAGTTAACACTGTACAAAGAAACAATCACTCCTTATTCATAAACAGACTCTGAAGCAAAATGTAGGGTTACTGAACATTGCAGCACATGATACATGTAGTTACCACTGGGGTGTAACCTTTGAAGCTTGAATGATTCTTTTATTAAATTTAAGAACACTGAATGATCAAATCTGTGTTGCACATACATGCCTACACAGAGTAGCCCACTTCAAGCAATCTA